CCGGTGACAGTGGCAGTATTTACTGTGCCTGGATCCTCTTCCCAGGCACCTTGCAGAGATGCCTGCCTGGTAGCAGTGCCCTGGGTCTCACCAGCATGGTGTGCTGGCACAGCTCCTCTGTGGGCAGCCCCCCAGGCATGGCCAGGTGCTGTGTTTTGCTCAGGAGGATGTGCTCAGGACAGAGTGTCCCTGCCAGCTGCACCCAGCCATGCCCAGGATGGTGTCTTGGGGAATAAGAGGAGCCAGGAGGTGGGTGGGAAAATGTCTCAGGGATGCTGCATCCCAACTACATGCATGTGGATAGCAGTGGTCCTATGTTTCTGTCTGTCAGGGCGCTGCTGATGCCACCGCAGAGCCCCTCACACGCAGAGGTGAGCACTGGCTGGCGGGAGGGGAGGTCAAGGCGGTTGCGGGCAAGATGACAGGGCAGTGAGGAGGGAGGAGAGCATGGCAGCCCCTGGTGCTGGGCAGGATGGACTCCTGGCTGGGCTGGCTGCAGGGCAGTGTGGGGGACCAATGCCACACTGGGGTGGCTGATGTGGGACTGTAGGGATTCGGGGAGGTGGTGGATCTCCAGCAAGGATGAGGAGAGGGTATGTTAAATAATAAGATGATGAGGTTGCTGCAGCCACCCTGTGGCCCCTTCCCATGTGCTGTCTTGGGGCTGTGGGTGTGGGGACACCCAGAACAGCTAAACTTTGGGTGGGCACCTCTGCCTGGGATCAGAAGCTGGACCTCACATCTCTTCTTCTTCCTCAGCAGAGGAAGAAGAGTCCTGGCGTGGTCCTCACCAGCCTGGCCCCACCACCACCTGGGATGCTGCTGCTCCAACACAGATGCCAGCACAGGGCTTGGGTGTGTGTCCACTGCTCCCAGGGATTTCCCTCCTCTCTCTCCCTGGCACTATGGGGAAATTCTGCCCTAAGCTCTGCTCAGGGGCTCTCACCCTTCCCCAGCCTGTCTTCCCACATGCCCTTCTTGACTTCCCAAAGAAAAGTCCCTGCCCTACCACTCTGGGGTGTTGTCTGGTCCCAGCTGCTGCCAGCCAGGGAAAGCCGGGGAGGCACAAGAGAGATCCCTTAAGCAAAGTGTTTGGATTCTGGATCCTTCCCCGCCTGCAGTTCCCTTGCCTGGCGCAGCAGTGGCTGCTGGGTGAGGGGGATGACGCCCCCGCTCCAGTGGCTTTGGCCCAGTTCCCCCAGCGGAGCTGACTCATCGGGAAGGGGGAGCGCAAGGGGAGGCATGTGGCTCCCAGGGCGGCTTGTTTACCACGACGGAAACAAGGACGCTCTTGTTCCAGGACTGCTGAAGTGTCTGGGAGTGTGGCCCCTGCCCTCCGCCGGGGGCTGGAGCACCTTGGGGAGTAGGCCTGGCCGAGGCACCTTGCTGAGGAATGCGTCTTCCTCAATAGCCTTTTGTTTGGAGTTGGGCTGCCCCCCACCTCCCCGGCTGGCTCCGTGCCTAGGGGTGCTCATGTGTAGTGCCCCGCTGTCCCCCCACTGCCACCTGTGCCCCACTTAGCAGGGCGGTGGGGGGGGGAGCCCTGTTGTCACTTCAAAAGGAGCTCCCTCACAGGTGCCAGGCTCTGCTGCCAGCCCTCCTACAAGGCATGAGGCTGGCAGACTTCCCCACCACCCTTTTGAGGGGCTGTGATGCAGGTGAGCAGTGCAGGGGACTGGGGCATCCTAGCTGGTCTCAGGCCAGAGGAGGCAGCATGATCTGCCCTGTCCTGCAGGGTACCTGAAGAGCAGCAGGCTTAGCACCGCTCTCCAAGAAGGGGAAAAGCAGCCTCCCCTGGCATGTTGCTGGGGACACAAGGCAGACACTAGACTCCATGCACCCTTTCGGTGCTGGCCCCAACCCCATGCTTTCTTCTCTCAGGGGTTGGCAGCTGTGCCTCTTCACCCCTCTCCTGTGGAGCTGGCGCTTGCGTGCTCACCCCGGAGGGATACAGCTGCTTGTGCCACCCTGGCTACACGTTGGACCCCAGCCGCCTCCACTGCATCGGTAGGTTGGCACCACCTCTACCTGCCAGGCCTCGATGGACCGTTTGGCCCTTCAGGCTCCTGGGAGAGGGTTTTCTGGCAGCTCTGCTGAGCCCCTGCCTACCTGCTGCACCACGGGGCTGGCAGGCAGCTGCAGGTGGTGACTGCCTGTCTTCCTTCCTTCCTTGCCTGAGCACAGATGAAGACGAGTGCATGAAAGATCCTTGTGCTGGAAAAGGTCGCTGCATCAACAGCATGGGCTCCTATTTGTGCCTCTGCTACTCTGGGTACACCCTGGCTGTCTCAGAGGGCAAGCAGAGCTGCCAGGGTAAGTGGTATCCACCTGGCACAGGGCTGACACCTCTCCAGTCTCCCACCCTTGCACTCTCATGCACATGCACATACATGTGCACTCATGCACACGCATATGCAGACACCTGCACACACACATGCACACCCACCCTCCCTGCAGGCCTGCCCATGGACAGCTTGGTCCATGGGGAACACCGTCTCCTGCTTGCTCAGGAACAGGACCTTGCCCATGATGATCTGGGCAGGAGCCTGTGACACGAGCCTTGATCCCTGCTTCATGGCAAGGGCGGTGCTAGGGATGGAGGAGATCCCTGGCATGGGTCCCCTGGGCAGAGCCTGCTGCAGGTGGAGCAGCTCCTCTCCTGCACCCAGCCTTCCCCACACTGGAGGGAGAAGCCTTCAGGACTGTCTCCCTGTCTGTTGCCAGATCGAGATGAATGTGAGCAGCCCTCTACCTGCCGAGGACAGCGATGCATCAACACCCCTGGCTCCTACCGCTGCGAGTGCAAGGAGGGCTTTGCCATGGGCCCCAGAGGACAGTGTGAAGGTGAAGCTTGGTGCTCCCTGTTCCCCTGTCCCTCCAAACCACCCTGTGCAGGGCTGATCACCTTCTTTCCTCACCACTCCACGTCTTCTCCTGGAAGGGAGTAAGGAACCCCCGCATTTGCCCTCCCTGAGGGCTACCTGTCCTCTCCTCTGCCTGCAGGAGAGGCAGGCTTTCCTGGGCAGAAAGGGGAGTTATCCCAAGATCCTCTCCCACTTCCCCAGGGAGATCCCCCATGACCAGCCCATGCCAGCTTCCCATTGTGGGAGGAGGTGCCCATCCATTTTCATGCCACTTTGACTTTGTCATCAGACCCTCGTGCTGACAAGTGGACTGCAGGGAGAGAAGGCTGCAGAGACTCAGGCCACCTGTCCCCACAGCATCCCATTCACATGGCACGACCTGGGCCCTTCAGAGCATTCGACCTTGTGAACATACAATGTGCCTGATCAAAGATCCCCCTTTCTCAGTAGCTCCTCTCCAACAGAGAGTGGGAGACTATTTTAGGAGGCAGTATGGGAAACAGAGCATGCACAGAATGCTGCTCCCCCACACACAGCCTCCAGAAAACACTTGCCTTAAGGACTTTCTGAGCTGGAGGCTGCATCCTAATCATAGTTATGAAAGTCCCTGATGAAACAGCCCTGCACAGATGTTCTCTGATCCCTTTCTCTGCTCACGCACATTCCTGGCCTTGGCAACATCCTGTGGCAGTGAGTTTGCTGCTGGATTATGTCAGCCCTCAGGTGTGGGTGTAGGATCCTGAGTGATAAGTGGGACTATAAGAAACATTGCCCAAGCCCTGACAAACTTGTCTCACCTCCTGTTGGGCATTGCTGTCCCCCAGAGGGGACATCCTAGAGAAGGCTGCACTGTTCACCTTTGGGAGCCTAAAAGGAGTGTGTTTCTTGGCAGATATCAACGAGTGCGTGGATCCCAGCCCTTGCCGCAGCGGGAAGTGTGTCAATACATTGGGATCCTACAAGTGTGTCAGCTGTGGAGATGGCTACCGGCCCAGGAATGGAAGATGCATTGGTGAGGAGCTCAGGCTGCCTCTGGGTACCCCTGTGACAGTGCTCCCTGCAAGCCTTAAAAGCAGCAGGGACACAGGCAGCACCCTTCTCTCCTGGGCAGCCAGCCTGCATGGCCAGGGCACAGTGCCCTCGTGGCTTGGGTGGCAGGGATGGCCCTTAGCACCCTCCCATGCCATATTGCCCTCTGCTGTGTTGCAGATGTGGATGAGTGCCTTGCGGAGGGGACTTGTGCTCACGGACGGTGTGTCAACCTGGATGGCTCCTTCCACTGTTCCTGCTATCGGGGCTACAAGGTGGCACCTGATGGGAAGAGCTGCCAAGGTACCGGGGAGCTGTGGGTCCAGGCCCTCTGAAGTGTCATGCACCCAGTCCAGAAGTTTTCCTAGGCTCTTCCTGAGTGTTTGGCTCTGTCTGAGTCCTGGCCGCTATGTCGGCTGGCTCTCTCAACACACCTGCCCCAGTCATGGTTACTCCGCATCCTTCACACTCATCCTGCTCTTCTTCATGTGCTTATGCAGACATCGATGAATGCTTGGCCCAGACCACCTGTCCCTCCGGACTCTGCCTCAACACCGAGGGCTCCTACTCCTGCATGGCTTGTGACGCAGGCTACGCTGTCTCCAGAGATGGCAGCACATGTGAAGGTATCCCAGGGACAGACGAGCAGGTTCTGGAGGGAATGAGGGAAGAGACATTGCCATTGCTGGGTTATTGGTGGGGCCTGGTGACTTTTTTAGCCTCAGGATCCTTCTCCAGCTCTTTAGCTCTCTGATCAGCAAAGAATGTGGTGGGCTGCAAGCGGATGTCACCTAGAGCAGCAGGAGGGTGATCTTCCTCACACAGGAA